TTTTTATACATTGGTGCGAGAGATCCGACAGTACAGAGTGAAAAAAATCAGCAAAGAAGAAAAGACTCCAGGGTGCATGAAAATTAAAAAATGCCTTGTAATGTGACAGGGTAAGTTTTGTAGTGTAACAGGGTAAGTGGAACTAATCACTTGCCAAATAAAAATGATTGATCGTGCCGTGCAAATCAGACATTCTGTGGTTAATTATGATGTAATTTAAGATATAAAATCAATCAGATCTCAGTGTCCTCAATAATATTCCTGGCAAACACCCAGGTGCTATGGATTTGCTTTGTTTCCTGGGGTTTTGATAAGTGGATTAAGACAATATATTGAATTCTCCATCTGTGACATGGAGACCTGGTTTTGAGTCTGAAGAAGCTGAGGGGGAAAAGTTTTATTATATTGCAGATGCTGTTCAAGTGAATATTGATTGATTCTTCAGGTTGATGAACTGAGGGGAGAAGATCATACAGTTCTTCTCAGATGCAGAATTAGGAGGTTCCTAATCCAGCAAGAAATATCTGGCTGGTGTACAGGTTTTCCTAGTTCTCAGGCCCTTCCTTATGCCATGCCATTTTTGACTTGTTTTTTTCCCCAGCTTAAAAAATTTACTTTTACCATTTCCAGAAATACATTAGTTTTCTTTTATTTTGGTCAACTGTAATGTCCTGAGTGATGCAGATTTGGAAAAAATAAGGTTTCACCTTTTTTCTTTGAGAGCCCATACAAGGGGGTAAGGGCTAAATTTCCCATTGTGTAAAAGAAAAACTATTCCCTTTTCAAGGTGTGTTTTCATACAGTGATGTAGTGGAATTTGACTTGTATCTTTTGTCAGCAGTGAATATTGTTGAGTTTGTGGTGTTTGTTGTTGGGTTTTTTTTTTTCCTCTACTTATTTAGAAAACAGTCTTGGATATAAGATTCCAGAACCTCAAGAGTCTGCTCAGGGAAGGAAATGTTTGCCTTTATCCTCTAGGTGGTATAGACAGTCATTCCAGCAACTCTGTATTTAGGAAGTTATGGTGGAGAAAGTGTTATCTAAAATTATTATGGTACAGATGTAGTTCAGTGGAGATTTGAGTGGAATAAGAAATCTGGCATTTAGAACAGTGTTGTGTGAATAATCAAATTGGATGGTTCAGAGTGTTTTGCTCCTCTTGGAATAGAGCTGGACTCTGATCCTTGTGGATTCCTTCTAACTCCAGAGTATTCTGTTTTGTCTTCTCGCTACCTCCAGGATGCCTTCTTAGTTATATTAGTCTTGGTAATATACTGAATTACACAAGGTAACTGAAAACTTTGACTACCCAGGTTGCCATTAAGCTGATGCTTTCCAAGAGTTTTGTTCCTTTGGCTGTTACACAGTAAAGCAGAAAGTACAGAACATCTTTTTCTCCATCTGTGATTTTTCAACCAGCAAGAGGAAAGTTCTGTAACTCAGTGTAAAATCCTCAAAAGAGCTCTTTCTTGAAAGCATCAAAGTTTGTACATAAAAAGCAGACTGGTTTCTCCAGGGTGTAAATTAGACATCCAGATAATGTCATTCAGATTTGAGCGCAGTTAATAGTGGAGAGTTTGAATTACAAAAGTTCTGGATTTGAATTTAAAAATGTCTAGATTCTTGATTAAAATTGTAATTAAGTGATTTCTCCATAGTAATACAGAGGGGTACAAATAATTTCCTCATTACTGATACATGTGTGTACGTATGTATTATATATAAAAAAATTACAAAAAAGAACTACAATTTAAGACTTGTTTAAGGGTTTGGTTTTGGGGCTGGGGTATTAAGGAATTCTGGATTCTTTATGAATTTGGTGTTTCTTATTGATAGTTCTTATAGATAGTAACCATACAAGCACATCTCCAGACTTCTCCACAGTCATGGGACCATGCAGTGCTCCAAAGAAAAGCTGTAGCCAGGAGCAGGCTGTTCTGTGGGAACACTTCTGACATTTTTGTTCCCCTTGCCTTTCTTAGTTGCCCTTTGGAAAAACAAATGGCAGGAGCAAATTCTCTCAATGCACCTTTATTGAGGCAGTGGGGTTTAGTTCTGAGCCTGCATGGGGAATTGTGAGTTTCTAATCTGAGCCTGGATTTAAAGCACTCATTCAGTACATCTTAACTTTCCAAAAAGCTTGCACACAATAACTCCATTGTTAGGGGGAGGAAGGTCAGCTGCCTGCAGCCCCTTCCTGCTCAAAGAGCTGCCTGGAAAGGCTTGACCGCCTTTGATCTCACACCATGGATGCCTTCAGGGACCTTCTGTAAACAGAGTATCCACTCCTTACATTTAAAATTTAATGGACAGGCTGGGAAGTGAAAGACCTCACTTGATCTCGAGTTCTCCACTTCTAACTCACAAGTGTTCTGAACAGTAGTTTTGTGTGTCATGTTGGATTAATTACCTGAATTGAAGGTGAATTGTGGCAGGGCCAGACTACTAAGTACATCATCAATAATTAGTGATTTACAAAGGTGTTAATGCCAGGATGAAAGCTGAGTCAGTTCTGCAGCCTGGTCTAGGGAAAGCTGTCCCTGCCCACCACAGGATCGCTGAAGATCACTGGCTGATCTTTAAGGTTCCTTCCAACCCAGACCATTCTGTGATTCTGTTTTGCAGCATGTGCTTTGAAAGATCTTCATCTTGGTAGAATAAAAATTTCAACCTTGATGATGAAGTCTTGTGTTTAAAGGTCCATAATAATATCTGGATGTTACTTTGTACAAGTTATTTTCTCTGCATTTATTTTAAAACCAGTTTAGTGAGGAAGAAGGGTTGCTCATTTGAAGACTTAATTTGCACTTTTTAAGTGTGTCTCATTTGAAGATGCCCCTGAAAGCAAACGAGCTGAAGACACCAAGTGAAAGCCAGTTCTGAGTGGTGGTTCTGGAAGGAAATGTAGAAGAACATTGTGCAGATGTTTTTCTTATACCATTCTTGTGTTCTAAGGAGGAAAACATTCTTCTCTCTGTTGTGATTGATTCTTAATGCTGTCCTCCTCCTTCTTAATACCAAGACCTGCACTAGAATCACTTTGAACTACACCATTTCCCTACATGAATATTGCTAAATATTCACTTTGTGCAGTAATGCTGAAGATATAAGCAAATAGCTCTCTGTAAAATAACACCAGGCGTTTTTAATTCTCAGAGGATTAATGGGGGACATGACCTGCATTCATTTTATATTGGTCAGTAATACCTCAGAATGTAGAACTGGTTATTTGCGAGGTCTTGCAATATAAAAAAGGGTGCTATTAATATTGGGAGATAGACTGCCAAAGACTTTGAACATCAGTTACATGTAAATGTTTCATGAACTTGAAAGTTTTAATTAAATTTAGCTTATACTGGAAGTGTTGCTTTTTGAGTGAAGCTGTCTAACACCTCACTGTTGTTTGGACTTCTCATATTAAATTTTAGCACCACTTGGTGTTTGGCTGAAGCAGTGAATTAGGAGATTTCTGGCTTCTGTTGTTGTGTGTTTTTCAGAGTTCACTTTCAGTTCTTTACTGAAGTAGGCATAGAGGAGTAAAACAGAATGTTCATTTTTATTGGCAGCTTGAAGGGAAACTATTTGGCTGACAAGAGGTAGGAAGCTGCCTGCCAGTTGTAGGGCTGAATTTCTAGACCCAGTTCTGCAGTGGTGCATTTGGCTGCTGAGATCCAGTAACGTTATCCAGCTATTTCTGAACCCTCTAAAAGATATCACAAGGAGTAAGGCAGCAAAGAATCAAGGAATTTTTTTATCTTCAGGATTTTATGACTGCTTTACTTTAATTATTAAAGGTAATATTTATTGGGATTTGAAGCAGCCTGAAAGCTAGGCCATAAATTGTTGGAGGTAAATAGGTTCTTATATAACATTGTACTTGATAATGGTTCATATCAGGCTCTTGGATATACTACTCTCTTTTCACCAGTTCAATTTTTTCAGCTATAATTAGCCCCCAAAATAATGAAAAACTACTCCATATGAACAAACATTAGCTTTTGTGTCTGTAGCTGAAGTATTGGAGCCGTGGAAATTTTCAGTGACTGTTCATGATACAGCACCAGAAATAATGTGTTCCATGTGCCTTTAACTATACAGGTTGAATAGACTGATTGATCAGGTCATTATTTATCACTGGGACATGGCATTGATTTGATTGATTCGCATATGTAAAGATTTGTAAAATTGTGGTGTGATTACTGTATCAGTGTGCCTGAGAAATTATTTGAATGTGCATATTAACCATAACTGTGTCTTTGAATTATTGGTACAAATACTTGAATTTCCTTTTCAGAGCTCCATAGAGATATTAAGGCATAAACTAAAGTAGCTGATGCTTCACAACTTCCCTGTGAGGGTGGGGAGGCCCTGGCACAGGTTGCCCAGAGAAGCTGTGGCTGCCCTATCTCTGGAAGTGTCCAAGGCCAGGTTGGATGGGGCTTGGAGCAACCTGGGCTAGTGGAAGGTGTCCCTGCCCATGGCAGGGGGTTGGAATGAGATGATTTTTAAGGTCTCTTCCAACCCAAACCATTCTGTGATTCTATGATAATATATAATCTAAACGTGTGGTACTATCTATATAGACACTAAACTTTTCTAGCTTGAGGTGGGACAACATGTGCCCTCTTTGAGATGGAGAAGAGGGCAGTGCACACTATAGTACTTTCCTTACCACATAAATAATGGAATTTGACCTGTGCTCAAGCCCTGAGCAGGAATTCACCTGCAACATGCCCTAAGCCCAGAACTCAGGAGAGGAACAGCCTGTAGTCAAGATTAATTGTTCAGAGGATGGCAGGCAGCAAAACAGCTGCTGATTGAACCTACTTCACCTGGGGACACAGGTTATAATTGTTGATCTGATCCTAATGAGTCCATGTTTGTATCTTTTCAGGGTGTTGATGATGCCTTCTACACGTTAGTCCGAGAAATCAGAAAACACAAAGAGAAGATGAGCAAAGATGGTAAAAAGAAGAAAAAGAAGACAAAGACAAAGTGTATAATTATGTAAATACAATTTATCCTTAAGAAGTACTGAAGTAATTTTGTACATTACACTAAATTATTAGCATTTGTTTTAGCATTACTTTACTTTCTGCTTCATGATCCTGTTAGCTTTACCTGAATGCTTGTTTTAAATGACAGTGGAAACTTCATTCCTCTTAAAAGTGCCAGTATTCTTTGACTGTTGGTTCTTGAACTAGCAATGCCTGTGAAAAAAACAAACAAAAAACAGAAAACAAACATTAAAAACCACACACAAAAACCTGAGAACTGTCTTAGGACTCTTTGGTGCATGCACAGTCGCTAACTTCCTGTTTTTCTTACTGATTGTGAACTTCTGTGTGCAAAGCAAACAATGAAATGATGCTCTACACATTCTAACATCCCCTATAAATTTGTTGGGTTTATAAATCCGGTTGGGAAAAAGGACTAGTTAGCAAGAGACTCTCATTTCAGCCTTTCCTTTACTTTAGTCTGATTATTGCAATAGAGAGAGACCAGAAGCCTTTATAGTCTTCCTGTAGATTTTGCTTCTAGGCATCTAGTCTTGTAGCATTTCAGATCAACTTTAATGAATGTAAAGATAAAAACTTTCAGAAAAAAAAAAGTTTCACTGCAATTTGTCACGGTCACTCCTTAAAGACTCTATTTTTTCTATAAAAAAACAAAGAAAAAAAGTAAAAAAAAAGACGACAATGCACATCTGGCAATGGAAAAAGTAAAAGTTCTAATTAGGTTGATTTGCTCTTGTTAATGCATTGCTTTAAGACCTTCACTGACTTTTTGTGTCTGAAGATCAAGGTGAAATCCCCCCAGCATCAAACCTTTAAGTAGCTTTGTTCAGTAGGTGCAGGATTTCACCCTTAGTGTCTCTAGGAAATACTAAAAAGCCTTAACAGATAAGTTGATTCAAATTCTTAGGTTAATTCATACGTGGACCCAGAATTTACCGTAAGAATTAAATCAGAATTAATCCTAAATTATATAGTGGAGTAAAACCATTATTCCCCCCCCCCCCCCAAGAGTGGCATTAAATATTTCCAGATGCCCAAGTTTTGTGCAAAATAGGGGAGAACTCTTAAATTCTGGTAACATCAAATGAGTGAATGAATGAGTTGAATTTAGCTGCTTCATGCAAATAATTTGGGAATCCACTATTCCATAGAAATGGTGTGGAATTTGCACAAACTGTCAGCATGGTTTCCAGCGTCAGTGTTGTTTGTGTGATGTCCGTGAAGTACTAGTTTTGTTGCACAGATTTAATGGTTGGTGAGTGGCATTCCAGTGTCTATCATGAAGCTAGGCCAAGATTTTAATGTTGTCTTTCTCTGTGATTAAGTTCTCTTGTGATTTTAAAGTTTTCCCTTCCCCCTCCTTTTTTTTTTTGTTTTGTTTTGTTTTCTGATTGGAATTAATGCAGGATTTTTGCAGGAGCTTTCAGTTTTTGGTACTGCAGTAGCCTAGTTATTCTGCACTGAAGCACGAGCCAGTAGTCCCAGTGTTGCCAGTTCCTGTTGTCTCACTGTAAATGTGGAGTTGTTTGTTCCATTAGAGCTTTGGTCCCTGAAGGTTCACTTCATAGTAGCCAAACTCAGCTGCAGAGGAACATTTGAAGATGTGGCTCTGGTGTACCCAAATAATAAGACACAAGATGTCGAAGTAGGATAGTTCAGGACACTGGACTGGAAAGCTGGGAACAGGGAAGAGCAGCATTGCCCTAAGGTACACCTAAACAATTCCATGGAAATTTTACACAGGTATGTAAAAATTGCACTGTGTAACTTGGACCATTTCTGTGATGCCAAAGGTGCAGCTGCCTGAGAAAAGTATTATTTTGCTTCTACAAAAAAAAATCCCAGAGTGACTGTTGGAGGTGGAGAGCTGCAAAGCTGGCAGGGAACACATCCTGTATGTTCTTTAATTTCCATGTGGCTGAGGGAAATCATGCCTTTCCCTGCCTGTGCCCCCCATTCCCCACCCTTCACCAAAACCCCCTTCCCTCCTTTCAGCTTTGATGTGAAACGTAGATAATGAAATATTCTGAAAAACAGCAACAGGAGAACCTAATGTTATATTGTAAGGACCAATAAGAACAGATTCTTGATGTCACAAAGTATTTCAGAGCTTCCAGGGTTAAAATGTGTTGGAGACAGTTATTTGCACATTTTAGACACTCTTGACTATACACAGAGAACGTAGCAAAAGTTGACAGTATGCCTTGAGCAAATGGAAGTAATCTTAAGGTTGCTTTAATTTTGGTAACTGAGTCACACTGCATGTAAAATTAGGGCTGGTCTAAAATTCTGACGTTCATTTAACTAAATACTGTTAGGAAATTGTAGCTGAAATGTCTTATTCATCAAATGTGGATTTATATAGCTCTACTATAAAGCTATATGTAGGCTAGTGTTGGGGTTTTGTTCAGCAAATGTGATCTGTAGCTGCCAGTCTGATTAAATTAGTACAAAATCCATTTAGATTAGCCCTTATTTACTAAAAAAAAAACCAACAACCAACCCCAAACCACATCCTTGCTGCCGTTGTGCAGTTTTGTCTGAGTACTTGTTGCGATTTGGTGAAGCATGTTGGACTGCAGCTTGCACAAGTTGATCCCTTCCTTATTGTCTTGCCCTACCTGAGATGCTTTCCCAGAACATCCCTGGGTGCTTGTCTGTCCTGAGAGCAACTACTGAATGACCCTGTGAGTCACTGACCACGTTAGCTCGTGGAACTGCCATGTGTCAGGGAGTAACACCTTCTTACGGTAGCTTTATGTAACCCTGCTAAACACCTGTATCATTGGTTTGCTCCAAACTCAATTATTCTGACCAGTTTCATTGCCCTAAACTTTTTTGCTAACTGAGAAGTGTGGACTTGGTCACAGTAACAGGATCTCTGAAATGGGTAAATACTGACACACACAATCTTCTGCTCTTGTCTATACTATGAAGCAATACAATTATTACCTTCAAAGACCATCAAACTGTAAAACAAATCATTTTGTCTCAAGTTTACATAAAGCTACATAGATGGTAAATCTTTCCTAACATTTCTTTATTCCACTGTCTTGTTGTTTTCATGTTGAAAATACTTCTGCTTTTTCCTCTTGAGTGCCAACTTCTTACTAGAATGACTTCTTAATGTAATATGTTTACCTGGAATGTATTTTAACTATTTTTGTATAGTGTAAACTGAAACATGCACATTTTGTACATTGTGCTTTATTTGATGTGGAACATATGCAGTGTGATCCAGTTTTTCCATAATTTGGTTGTGTGACCTCGGAATGTTGGTCATGCCAGACATTAAGTTAAAAAAAAGGAAAAAAAAAAAGACCACTGTTTGTTTTAAAATTTTTAATGTTTTTAGGAGTATGTGCTGTGAGGTGATCTGGAATTTGTCATTTTTTTGTCAAACTGTACTGCTCCTATTTATTGTAATGTAATAAAAAATAGTTATTGTGAGTTTCTGTCCCAGCTTCCTTTTTCTCTGCAAGAATTTCGGTGCCTCATCTCGGTAACGGTGCATTCCACAAACTGTGTGTGTTTGGCAGTTGTTGTCCCTTTATGTCTTGCATTTCTGCAGGTGCTGCCTGTCCCAGAGCTGCTGTCCCTGCCCCTGGGTGTTCCCTGCCTCTCCCAGGGAAGGTGTAACTGCATCTTTATTTCTGAGGAGCTCATTTGATGTGCAAGGGCTGTTTTTCACATCAGTGTGGCACTAGAAACTGAAGCCCAGTTTTGTCACAAGGCAGTGTACCCTGCCATTGTTTTTTAAATTGTCTTCCCGGATTTTGTGTGTGTAGTGAATTTTGTGTGGTAGTGAATCCCTCCCACTGCCTCCTCCTCAGGTGTGATCTCAGCAATGCTCGTTAGGCCTAGATAAGGAGTGCTTGGGCTGAGCTCCTCCTGAGCTTACCAGGAACACTGTTCCCAGCTGTCTTGGCGAGCTCCTGGTTTTTAACCAGCCTTGGAAACATCCCAAGTGGAGCAACATTTCTGTTATCAAGCTTTCAAAGAAAGTTACCAACCTGAATTGTGGTCAGGATGGAAAATTACTGTGACTAAATCCAGCTCTCTTGTGGATCTGTAAGCAGCAGACCCTCGGAGCTCTCCTGGAACACACCAGCACCTCCCTCTGAGTGGGGCCTCTCAGAGCCAGTGAACTCTCCAGTTGGAGGAGCAATAGCATTGAATTCCAGGGGAATTTTTCACAGGTATATACTTCCAACATACTCCTTTAGGTCTGTGTGAGTGTGGATATCCTACAGCAAATGTACCATGAACGTTGCTCTCCTAGATTAAGTACTTCGGAGTCGTAAATAAAATAGGCCTATGAGTTACTGTCGTGCTTACAGTAAATTCTGTAGGAGCCTTTTGTTAAATCATTTAAATCAAGCTATCAATTAAGTGCTGTTAAGTTTAAGTTTAGGCCTAAACCATTGATCAAGTGCAGGGCTAATTCTGGCAAGGAGGTCCAGTCTGAACATTGTGACTCCACAGGAGGATCTCCCTTATTCCTTTTATTCTTACCCTTTCCCATCCTCAGCCTCCACATAGATAATTTTTGGTTGATTTTAGGTTTAGATTGATTACTTTTAGACTTCAGTTTCCTTTTTTCTCTCTGTGCTTTAACCATCTAGTGAGTAGTAGAGTGAATTTTGTCAGTGGACTTTGTCACACTTCTATATTAAACCTGTGTCAGCGGTTCTTCAAGTGACCCTAAAATACTTATTTGTGACTGTGATGACTTGCTACTGCCAACAGCTCTGCTGCAGTGATTCCTTACCTATATTTCAAAGATTATTTCTATCTCCAGCGTTGTTTAGTTGGTGGAAACACCAACCAACCCTACAATGTACAGTGTATCAGATCTGGCACAAGTCTGTGCGAGTCGAGCCAAGGCCTGCAGAGATACCCTGGAGCAAACAGCCACGGCCAAACTTCTCTTCCCAGGGCAAAGATCAAGTTATCCATTCCTGCTGCAGCAGTTACACAACACCACAAATCAGCAGTAGCAGAAATTGCCTTCAGGGCCCAAGTGCTTAAACCATTGTTGTTCAAACTCCCCCCTTTCCTGACCCCAAAGTCGTCCCCCTAACACAGGAAGGTGGTGCCTCTGCAAGTGAAGCAGATGAGGTTAAAAGCTTTAAGAATTGACTTTCAGAGAATCACAGAATTGTCAGGGTTGGAAACAACCCCTGGAGATCATCCAGTCCGACCTCCCTGCCAAGGAAGGGTCACCTGGAGCAGGGGACACAGGAACATGTCCAGGTGGGTTTGGGATGTCTCCAGAGAGGGAGACCACACCCTCCCTGGGCAGCTGTTCCAGGGTTCTGCCACCCTCAGTGCAAAGAAGTTCTTCCTCATGCTGAAGTGGAACTTCTTGTGTTTTAGTTTGTGGCCATTGCTCCTCGTCCTGTCACTGGGCACCACTGAGAAGAATCTGGCACTATCCTCTGACATCCACCTCAGAGATCTTTATATGCATTGTTGAGATCCCCCTCCATCTTCTCCAGAATAAACAGGCCCAGCTCCTGCAGTTTCCCCTCATAAGACACACTCCAGACCTCTAAAGATCTTTGTGGCCTCCACTGGACCCTCTCCAGTAGCTCCTTGTCTTTCTTGAACTACGGAGACAGAACTGAACACGATTCTCCAAATGTGGCCTCACCAGGGCTGAGTGGAGAACTTTACTTTGGAGAAGGTGAGTGGAAATCAATCATTTAATGCAGAGCACTTTCAGGTTAAGCTTCCAAGTAACAAGCATTAGCACTTTGAATTGACATTCAAACACAATTATGGGGTAAGAAGAGCTTCTGTTACAGATATATTTTGAAGTGAAACAGAAGAGAGCTGTGCAACCACTCCTTCCTGCAAAGTCGTTTCACACCTGAAGTTTTAGTGAAAACACAACCCAAGCGGCTGCTGGAGGGGAAGCAAAGTCCTAATTTGTACCTTAGAGGGGTTGGAAGGATTTACATTTCATTTCTTTTGAGGTTACATCTCCTTTATTGTCAGTTTTCGTGGATGTGTTGGTTGCATGCACAGTCACTGGTTGTCATCGCTGTAGTAGCGCTGTTTCATGGCTCGGTATTTCCTCAGGAAGTACAAAGCCTCCAGCTCCTTTATAACAAATTCACCCCGTGCAATCAGTTGCTTAATTTTCTCAGGGTCTTTCTCATCCTTGTGTTTTAGGAAAGCTGCTTTCAAACGGCTTCTAAAGTAGTCTGCTCCTTTGGGATACTCCCTTCCAAGGTACAGCAGCTTGCAGGAAAAAAAAATAATGTGTTTTTAATAAACTGAGCGTGCAGTGAAAGAGGTTCATTTTCTGGTTAAGGAAAGTGCTGGTGGCATTTAAGACACTTACATTTTTGTACAGTCTCACCACTTCACCTCTTAAAGAATTGGCCATTCTCACATTTCGGTGAACTCTTTAATCTTGTCTGATTTTTGGGTTTGTTTGGTTTTTTTACCTGAGGGATAATCAGTTGGACATTAGCCTTCCCTGGGAGTCAGCAAACCCCAGCATCCTCCTCCCTAGGGCTCCCGTATCCTACTGAGCCCCCTTGGCTCTAACTACTTATTTTCTGGTTCTACTCTGTCTCTTCCATTTTTGGCTTCCTAATTTTTGTTCCATTTAGCTGCTCTTTCTCTTCTCCTCTCTCACCTCAAACAGAAAACAAGAAACTTCCAAAAACTTTCAACCACTGTGGCACTTTGTGCTGTTAATCAGCTGCTTTCTTACATCCTCACAGTGCTGGCCTGGCAGCTTCTTACATCCTCATACCTGCTGGCCTGGCAGCTTCTCTGTGGTCTGCTAAAGAACCATATCTTCATACATACAGTGCTAAATATATAAAAATATATTTATAATATCTAATAATATCAAATATATTATTAAATATATTATTAAATATAGTAACATTAGATGTATTTATATTGAATATATAAATATTCTATATTATATTTAACAGTTATAATAGTCATAATATTTATAATAATGGTTATTTGGATTTATGTATTTTATGTATTTGTGCATTTTTATGTAAGTCCATATATTTACATATTATAGATTCTATATTCATATATTGTATATTCATATACATTTTGTATAGTTAATAAATTTGTACACTATATACTTACATACATACATATGTACATATATATACACACATACATATGTACATATATATACACACATACATACATGTGTAATGTATATATATAATACATATATTTATAAAATGCAAATACAAACATATATAATACATACATATATAATAAATATATGCATATAATACATAAATATATAATACATACGTATATATCTATACATACATATATATATATGAATTCCTATATATATATGTACAAATATATATATATGAATTCCAGCAACTGCTGCATTCCTAAATTTTGCTGTTTTTAAAACTGTTGAAGTGCATTACAAATTGAGGCCAGTTCACGCTGGCAAAACGTAAGGTAAAAAAATAAATCATGTGTTGGTAACAAAGTGGTTGTTTTTTATTTATGTAAACCCAGAACGGCCTGGGTTGGAGGGCACCTTAAAGCCCATCTCGTTCCAACCCCCTGCCACGGGCAGGGACACCTTCCACTATCCCAAGTTGCTCAGAGCCCCATCCGAGCTGTCCTTGGACACTTCCAGGGATCCAAAACCAAACGGGGCATCCCAAACCGAACCACAAACGACCGGATTCCTGGATTCCAGCCCAGCCCCGGGGCCCCCGGGCCCCTCTATCCGGGCCGTGCCCGGGGACCGCCGCCTCCCCTTCGCTGTGCCCGCGATCCCGGTGCCTCCTGCCCCGCTCCCCCCGCAGCCGCTCCCGGTTCCCACCCCGACCCCGGGAAGGCCAGACCAGGGTCTCACCCGCTCCCGGTTCCCACCCCGACCCCGGGAAGGCCAGACCAGGGTCTCACCCGCTCCCGGTTCCCACCCCGACCCCGGGAAGGCCGGACCAGGGTCTCACCCGCTCCCGGTCGGGGCCGTTCCGGCCGGAGCCGCCGCCAGGCCGCGTCAGGCGGGGCCGCCCGGGCTGCGCATGAGCCGGGGGCGGAGCGGCCGGGGGAGAGCCGGGAACGGGACAGCCGGGGAGAGGGATCCGGCTGGGATCGGGACAGCCGGGGAGAGGGATCCGGCTGGGATCGGGCACCGAGGGATGGTGCGGCGGGGAGGGGAAGGGAAGGGTCGGGGGGTGCGGTGGGGAAGGGTCAGGTGATGGGGTGGGTCAGCGCTGGACCGAAGCGTTGCTCATCATCTGAACTACATGGAAAAATATATATCTGAATATATATGAAAAAAAATTATTTAAGATTGAAAAATACCACTTGTTTTTTCTGCAGTCCCCAGTCCCGTGCCGTGGTTTGTTGCCGTGGATTCCCGGTGTGAAACCCGGCCGGGAGGGACGGAGGGAGCTCGGGCTTTGTTGCCACAACCGCTCCATGGTGACAAACTCCATCCCTAAACGCAGCCTGCCTGCTCCTTCCCCTTTGTGTATTCCCACCTGGGTAATTAATCGCCCGCAGTTACGCGAATTCACGTGGCGATGTTTGGGCGCTGCGCAGGAGAGATTAATTGGTAAAGAAAGGATTTACTGCTGGATGTTCGGCTCTCTGGAATCTGTTCTCGTTTCCTTGTAGTTGTTTGGGGAAGTCCCCTAATTACGTTTCTCCGGGTGCGGTTCCCCAGCTGATGGCAGAAAACTCGGTGGTGGTTCTGTGACATTGCACGATGTGATTTAGCGTTATTTGGATTAGCACGCGGTGTCAGTCGATGAATTCAGAAAACACTGGAAAAATATTTTACTAAGCTATGTCCTACACTAAAATACGTATTTCGTGTGCGTTAGTTTTTTAACAGTGGGAATAAGTAAATACACTTCCATAACCATAAGTGTAATTTAGCATGATAAATTATGGCGGTCTGTAGTCATGTGTTGGTGGCTAATTTTCTGCAGTACTGAAGTTGTTGTCATTACAGTTTTTCAATAGTTAACCTCACCTAATTTTACAGAATAGTTGTATTTTCTAATTATTTGTTTATAGTTGATGCCCTGTTCTCTGATGTTCACTTTACCTTTTTTTTTTTTTTCCCCTGATCTTTTAGGGTCCAAAATCGAAGAACAAGGTAGGTAGGCAGAAACGTGCTCTAGTTCATTGCTGCATTTATTTTTTTAATCTGCTCAGGGTTAATTGAATTTGAAAGAGGAAGAGGCATCTCTAGGACTGAGGGAGCTGGGGGGGCTCAGCCTGGAGAAAAGGAGGCTCAGGAGGGACCTTCTCATTCTCTGCAATTCCCTGACAGGAGGTTGTAGCCAGGTGGGGGTCAGGCTCTGCTCCCAGGGAACAAGGGACAGGATGAGAGGAATTGGCCTCAGGCTGCACCAGGGAAGGTCTTCAGATCGGACATCAGGAGGAATTTCTTCACAGAAAGGGTGGTCAGGCCTTGGCAGGGGCTGCCCAGGGAGGTGGTGGAGTCCCCATCCCTGGAGGTGTCCAGGGAACAACTGGCTGTGGCACTGAGTGCTCTGGGCTGGGGGACAAGGTGGGCATCGGGCACAGGGGGGACTCACTGATCTTGCAGGTCTTTCCAACCTCAGTGATTCTGTGGTTCTGTGAATTTGAGCCACAGGCTGGACACAGAATATGGTGGATGGAGGGACAATAGGCAGAAGTTCAGGGGAAACTGGATTGTATAAATTCATCCCATGGGTTATTCTTAATTAAGTAATAATGAATTTATCCACCCCCCACCCCTCCCCATCTCAGTCGTGTCAGTGCTATGTTAAGTCATAAGAATGTGAAAAGAAATGGAGTAAAAAGTGACTACAAGTAATTGAAACAAGCAAGTTTCCCTTTTCACTGAAAATAATTAAAGATTTATTTGTTTGTTTAAGTGAAAAAAACCCCCCGATTCTTCCCTGAAATCTTAATGGGTAGAATTGTGGGGTTTACTGATTCTATTTCAGGATAATTTTGCAAAGAAATGCTTTGGTAGCAAACGTGATAAGATGCCCTCAAACTCTGGTGGTTATATGTGTGTTGTTGGCACTAAATTGTTGCCATTGTTTTTGTTCCAGCTTCATGATAACCTCTGTATTCAGTGTCACCCTTATCTATATATACTGCCACTCAAAGTAGTGTAAAGTGAAGAGCTTTCCACGTAGTTATTTATATCCGAAATCAGAATCAAAGTATGAAATAACAGTATTTGTAACACACTTTGTGCGTGAAAAAGGATCAGGATGTATTTCCTTGGTGTATTTTTTTTCATCAATACCTTGCCTTTCAACCTGGGTTTAGGCTGCTGTCACTCTTAGGCTCCAGCATGTAGAGGAAACAATGCAGAATATCATGGTTTGTTTCCTCAAGTGTACAAAAAAATAGCCTTATTTGCCCCACTCATAAACAATAATGTTGGCTGGGAATTAATTTTGCAGTTTAGATCCAATTATCATGTTTTTATGTGTATCATCCGTGAGAATGCTATGAATTACAGGACAAAAACCAGTGTTCTATTTTGGTTCATCTGTTACATGACGGTAGATTTTGCATGTTACTTACCTTGTCTTTTATTTTTATAAACTATATACCTAGACCTCAAATTGATACACTGATTTCTGAGAAATCCAGATTTAAAATACAGTTTTTCTAGGATTAGGCCAGAGGTTGAATAGTGGACTGTCTGGAGTTGCAGTGAGGATTTTATGACAGAAAAGAGAACCCTTGCTACTTGTCTTTTGAATTAGATGCTTCTAATTTGGGCCAGACTTGCCCCAAAATACATTTCCCAGTATATCCTAAAAGATTTGAAGTTATAACATCTGCTTTCTTAGCCAATCTACCTGTTATTCAATTTCTACATTAAAAACAACATTCTCCTGTTTGTGGCCATGTTTGGGAATGTCTAGCATAGAATAATATATTAATTGTAAGAGCATATATTGCATCAGGAAAATGAGAATAAAATTGAGTCCAGAATGTTTATTGCCATTCTGGGGGTTTCATTCACTGTGCAGGGAGCCTAAAATATTAATTCAGGGATCACATTTGAAGGGCAAATTTATAGAGTTGTACACCTCTCAGAATATATTAAAATAACACTGACATTTGTTTCTTCTAATTTACCGCAAACGTTAAGCCTGGTGGCAAAAAAGCTGAAAAGAAAGAAGAGGAAGTGAAGCTGAATGAGGGAGGTACTGTGCACTTCATTTATAGGGAATGTGATGGGCAAATCATTTGTTTTAAAGAAATGTACAGAAAGTAATTTCTTGAGCTACTTGTGAATTGATATTTGTGTTTCACAGACATGGGTGAGTCCTCTCTGTTTTCTGGTGTGAGCCAAATTCTGTACTGGTTGATGCCACATCTCAGTGTCCTGTCAGAGCAATACTCCCTCCTCTAGTTATTTCTCCTGCAGTCAGGAACTTGGGAAGAATTAACCTGCCATTAATCCATCCTGGTGGGGGCTTGGGCACGCTGTGACTGCTACTAAGTGATTACTAATCACTAGTAGCCTTTTGTGGGTGGGAGTAGCAGCTCAGGCAGGTTTGGGAACTGCTGTTGCTCTCGCCTCAGTGCAACACAGATACCCTTGACATGACTTCCAAGTAGGTGGGGATGTTCAAGGCTCTGTTTGGGAACCTCTGGATTGATGTTCCAGTTTAGGCTGAAGGCTTAGAGGTTGAAATCAATTTTAGTTTTCACATCGTCTCTAACTTTCTAGTCCTAATGGCAGCAAAGAGAAGCTTTGCTGGGATGGGGAATAGCTGATCATGAGGAGGATTTCAATGAGCAAACAGGCAGA